CACACACACACACACACACACACACACACACACAGACATATCCCCTCTTCACAGCGAATATACATTAGTACGTAAGTTTAATACCTGGAGATTAACAGAAATGACAATGGGGCACAGATGCAACACAGTAAAACAGGGATGGGGGGTAGGACTGGAGGGGGCAGAGGGACACTGGATATGATCACAGCAACCAAGGAGTGATTCCCTTGGTGCTCTGAGGTCATGAGACACTTGCCTCTTGTCACCAAGAAAACTGCATGGTGAATAAACCACCAACTCTGGAAGATAAGCCGTGGCACTACTGCGGAGCTTAGAATGGGGTGGGGCCCTCTCTGTCACAGTGTTAATACTCAAGCATGGCGGGCTCGGAGAGTGTTACGAAATATCAGCATTTTGACCTGGTGAGAGGGGCCTATTTGGGATGTGCCCCGTTTACCTAACACTGGGTGAAGGAGGTCCCCACTCAGGGTAACAGGGCCCCGGGATACCGTGGTCTTGACTTGCAGCAGCACTCCACACCACTGCTCCCAGCCAGCTCCACTCTGTCCACTGAGCACCCTCTCCGCAATGGACCTAAGCCAGAGTGAGCCAATCAAGAGGAGACGGGAGGAACCACGTGGTGGGATGGAAGGGGCAGGAGCTGGCAGAGGAGCAGGTGTGTCCCAGGCCGGGCCCTCCCCTAGGCATCATTGAGGCTGCTGTCGCTCAGGAGCACCTTCTCCCCAGGTCTGAAGGCCGGCATCCCAAGGTAGGGGCAGCTGGCACAGCGGAAAGCATCGCCCAGGTAACACTGTTGAAAGAAGAGACCATCATACAGGGGAGCCAAGTGTCAGCTCTCCCAGAGATACAGGCCAGAAGAAAGGGATCCCAAATTTCATGGTATGGCCACAGTGGCCTAAAGAGAATGACTGCGTACATTTGTAGGTCCAACTGGGATCCAAATACTAAGAGGCTTTAAGATCTCTGATTTCATGAAAGACAAAAGTCTAGAGAAGTCCCTTAGGTGAATACTTCTGTATTCTCAGCAGTTCAAATCACAGCCACACTCAGCAAATGGCTGAGTAGCATCAGGCCTAATGTGAAGCAGAAAGAAAGGGGCCAAAAATAAGAAATGACAAGTGCCTCCCCTACGGGCATGAGTGCGCTGCCCACTCTCAGGAGATAAGCCCTCTTCCCATTACTACCTAGAGACACGTTCTCACACGTTCACCTATTATTAAAATAATTGGGCAGTGAACTCTGTAGAGCTGGAGCTGGCCTGTGTTTAGTTTAGGCCTTTGTGAATACTGAGTAATCAACCAGATACTCACGTTTCCACAAGCCGACTTGGGCTGGGAGCTTATCTGGTCCCTCAACTTCTCTTTCTCCAGTTCTTCTGCGAGGCCACAGGTGCTGGGGGAAAGTTAGCAGGTGATGAGTGGGACCTGCCACCACCCAGGAACTCCAAATCCTTGACAGACCTTTTCCCTGGGAGTCTTCACAGATATGGAGCATTGACCTTTCCTGGCCTAGTCAGCTTTGGGCTCCACAATTCAATGATGTACTGTTTGGAGATTCACACACAGACAGTAAACTATCGAAAAAGCCAGCAAAGATTAGCACAAATTTGGGAGAATGGTAGCCTCTTGTAAGGAGAGGGAGGGAGATGCAGCTGAGGGAGCAGGCAGAGGCGACTTCTAAGGAACAAGTCATGTTCCTGGTACTTAAGCTGGGTGAGCAGTACATGGGTGTTCATTTTATTGTTCTTTAAAATGTACTTATTTAGCATACTCTTCTAACCGTCTGATACATTTTACAATAAAACATGTTTTAGTAATTGTGAAGCACAGCGATTCCTTGACAATCAGAAGCCGCTGGAAGCAGCCTGGCAGCCTCTTCTCACCCCAAGGCTTACCAGTTCTTGCAGGCCTTCCTCTTTTTCCCTTCCCCACAGGAGGCAGCCCGCAAGGAAGCTGGGTCTGGCTTCTTCATATCTTCTGGATCCAGCAGTTCATCTGAGTCAATGAGATCCTGGAGAATGTTCGAAGCCATTAATGACCCAGTCATGGTCTCTGCTAATGAACAGGTGAAGTGGCCACAGTCCACAGCAGCAGTTTGCCCATCTATGTAGAAGGCAGCCATCATCCTACCTGGGCTTGATCATCACGCCCAAGCTGACCACATAGTGAGTACACTACGTGCACAGAAGCTGTGTTAGGCTGTGAGGGGGCTGGGGACTCATTTATGATGTGCAGAGAATATGTGTGTGGAGGGCAGGGAGGGAGGGGGCAGGAAGAACAAAGAGAGAAGCGTTATATTTATGCGAATATATAAAGGGCTGTCGTGTGAGAAAAGGGAATGGAATATTTTCTATATAATTCCAGAGGAAAAGGCAGATAATGATATATACACTTGTGTGATTCTTCGATAAACGTGTAGACAGTTAATCTGTAAGCTCTGTGAGGGCACAAACCGTCGCCTAGTTTGCTTACCACTCTA